TTTTGCACCTTAACACTTCCAGCCCCAGCCAGTTTCATGTACTCCCTATCCTTAGTCCCAGCCAATACAGCAGTATTTCAGAAAAAGAGGCATGCATTTTAAAACGTTATGGAGTATCTTTGTAATGAGGTTTAGAACTTCCCACTTGGCTCGGTCCTATCGGAGACGGACGTTAAACTAGGAGGTCCCGCCCCTTAAATAACCTAGTAGTGTTGATAGGGGCGTTAAACCCATACCATTTTTTTTAAAGGTTTAGATAATAACATATAACAATGTTTAAAAGTGAATGAAAAAATATTATGAAAATTAAAGTTTAATTAGTTTAGCTAATTTCGAAAAATGTTCAAAGTTAGTACCCCCCCTCCTCCGAAACTGAGAATATACGCTCTTGGGACGGTGGGAGGTACAAGCACTGCTGAAAGTATACGTTCATGGGGATGGCAGGGTTAACTCCCAGCAGTTTTGCCTATTTTGGCTTTTTCATTTTTGTTTCAGGGGTCCTCCATACCCTCAAGCCTCATACAATAATCTATCTATTCCAGATAGACATATATATATCATATATCAATGGAAAGGGAATTGGATGGTCTGTCAGACCTAGCCAATAGATTTCATTTTTGTCAAGCTGTCTTGACATGTGACCTTTTTTTTTGTTTGTTACTAAAAATGAAAACAAACAAATAAACAGAAATCACACTTTTCCAACAGTAACAAAGAAAGGGAAAAAAGGTGCATTCAGTTCTGCATATTATGTGTCAAAGATACACCATTCTGTTGGAAAATAAAGAAATGAGAGCCATTCTAGTACATCCTACAGTTCCTAGTTATTGCCCTTGAATTTGGAATCTTCTTATCATGACTTTTTGCTCTCGAGCCTCCTGCATTAATCTATCAGTTCCAGATAGACATATCTGTACCAATAGAAAGGGAATTTGATGGTCTTTCAGACTTATCCAATAGATTTCATATTTGTCAAGCTTTCTTGAGGTGTGACATATTTTTCATTTTACTAAAAATAGATGGAGAAACAGAAATCGGACTGCCCCAACAATCACAAAGAAGAAAAAAAAAAACTACAATTCAGACTTTACATTAATTTGATGAGAAAGTACATTCAATTCTGCATGTAATGTGTAGAAGACATTTCATTCTGTTGAAAAATAAAGAAACGAGGGCCGTTCTTGTGCATTCTGCACATTCTTGGTTATTGCCCTTGAAACTGGAAATTTCAGAGCGAGAATTTTATAATAAAACCATCAATTTTAATACCTATTTTATATTTTTTGTCTGTTTGGTCATTTTTATTTGATAAAAATACCTTACAAAATCTTTCTTTATAAAAGTAAATGTATTTTATGAGCGAAATACCACATCACCAGCCATTGTATATTATATATCTTACACAATATAGTACTACATGAACTGCTGGGAGTTGATGTTGTCATCATGTTTTTGATGAATAGGAAGGGAAATCTTCAAAACAATCCCAAAAGAGGGGGTGCAAAAATTGGAATTAACTATGATTCTCTTAGAAAACTCTGTTTGGTTTAACTAATGTGTTGGAAAATGTAACTGTATGTACCCTATTTATGAATGTCAAATTTTACTTTAGAGACCAAAATCTACTCTAGTTTTTTTCCCTTTCTCTTTTGCAGGAACTGTATGTTTATTTCAAAAGAAATATTCTTAAAGTTAGAACTCCCTCTCTGGATGAGGACAGGGAGAGGGGAGACTTTCTGTCGAAGGCTACAATGAAAGAACTGAAGAGGACAATGCTGACAAGTCCGGCTCTCTGTGACAGCATCATCAGAGCTTTAATGCCGGAGAATGCCAAGGCTGAGAGTAGAGACTGTGAAATGTTGCAAGGTATTTTTCTTGCCCTCACTTTTTCACTGCCTCATGATTTAACTTGGGACTCAGGTGCCTATTTTCCAGAGAGCTCCAAAAATCTTAAATGATCTGGATTTTGTCCAACTTATTGATACAAAAGATTCATAGATGTTGAGTCTCCATTTCCACATGGTTTGGAAAAGTTTTGAAATTTTTTCCCCCATAACCAGATGGTACCCCTGTGGGGGGTGGGGGGAGTGGGTGTGCACAGAGCCTGTAAATTTTTACATGATAATTGGGTATCATGGTATGTTTGCCCATTTAACTAGTCCAAATTGCCTATTTTTTGGGCCGTAAACTGTCCAGTTTTGTTTGCTAAGCAGTCCATGGGTAGCTTCAAATCTGAGACAATCTCAGGCGTAGCCATAAAGGTGATAACCCTTTTGAGCTTATAGGGCCCATGCATCTTAGCTCCTAAGGGAACACTCCTAGTTTATATCACCTCGCACTTAAACATGGGTTCAATATATTAAAGGTTAAAAGTGGCCTGGGATAATAACGTTAACGAATGGATGGTAATTGAGAGTGTACTGTCGAACCTTCCTTAACGGAAACCTGGAAACTTGTCTTAACGGAATCTCCCCGCCCCCCCTTGATATATTCCTCTTTAATTACCTGTATAAACCGGAAACCTGTCCAACGCGGAAACGGAAAGAAAAATCCGCTCCCTTCCGAGGGTTTCACCTGTCTAAGACGGAAAATGCTTTGCCCGATCAGCCCTGATTTGAAACAAAACTCGCAAGTTTGGTTCCGCCGGCTCTAAACTTAACACTATGGTCATACTGCTGGGCGAGGAAGGGGAGTAGGGGTGCAATTTGGGGGAAGATGTTACCCAAGGAGCTTAAAACTACTGTAAACTCCTTGATGTTACCCCATCATGTGAGCCCTGAGTGATGCAAATGGTCAGAGTAGTGTGGGTGTGAAATCTCACGACTGCCCGTGAGAGTGCTCGAGTAGCCAGCCACCACGGGAACTTTCCTGGGTAGCCAGAAGCCAGAGGTGTGAAATCGCCCTGATCGTACGGCCAGCCGAGAAAAGAGTTCCTCGAATCGTTGTTACAATGAAGGCAGTGAGGTGTGGCATTGGTGGGTGGGGCTAAGGGTGGAAGCAAAGGAGATGTTCAAACGTTTCTGTTTTTAATTGGTCAAACAGTGGTCCCATGAAATGCAAGCACAGGAGGTAATTGGATAAGTAAGACTGAGGCATGTCATTATCAGACAGGATAGCAATTGAGAGGTGAGAAGTTTTGACCACTGCTTGACGATCGGACAAGCGATCCTTGATCCCACGAGCTGGGCCTTTGAACACCCCCCCCCCCTAAATTCCCCTGTCTAAGACGGAATTTTTTTCTTGCTCCCTTGCGATTCTGTCTTACTCAGGTTCGACTGCATTTCAGTTGAGGCGAATCCTGCACTGAGAAGTGCTCATTTTAATGTCTTTAAATGGGGGCTTTGAAATGACTTTCTGCTGCTATAAGGGTGTAGTGTTTGTTTTTTTCAATACTGCAATGTTGGTTTAAATGTAGCTCTACAAGCAAACACATTATTATTATGGGATACTGTCATACAAAAGACTATAAACACCATGGTTTTTTACTAGTTTTTTTATCTAGTGTTTGACTTCAAAAATGCTAAACTTCTGTTTTTTCTGCACAAGCCATTCCACTACTGTCAAGTTAATACTCCATCTTATATGATGCAACTGGACTATGTCATCAAAGCCTGTTTCATTAGATGCATTTGACATGGATGTTAAGCTCATGCTCTCAGCTTCTCATTTCAAAGATGAAAACATTTCAGAATCAGATTGTGGAGATCGAACAGATAGAAGATGGATAGGGAAGGAATTAGATAAGTCCTGCTTTTTCTGAGTTAAAACAAAAATAAATTTAACTCCAAATTTGTTTGTGCTCTTTCTGTTTTGGGAAATATTATGTTCTTTTTATTATTTTCTTTTTGTCAAAATCTCTTTTACTAGAGAATTGTGTCAACTGATAATTTTTCATGTTTTCTTTCATTTTCTTAAGTCATGTTTTATGATTGGTACATATTTATAATGTATTTCAGAGTAAAAGTTCTTTAGTAATGTTATTTTAAATTTCTTTAAGGGATCTACATTGACTGCTTGAATTCTCTATTGGACAATGTGGAAGCGGGCATTTCTCTGGGCCTGTTGGAGTCCGAGTTGGAGCAGTTGACCAGTCACATGCTGCTCATTCTAGCCTCCCACGACCCGCTGCCTTACTGGAACTACCTCCAGCTGCGCCAACTCTTCACGCGATTGTTGCGTTTGTGTTTAAACCAAGAGGGACTCTCATTACTCACTATAGAGGAGGTGGTGTCTGTGCTGTACAGGAGGAAAACCACGTACTTGTTGGATGAAGTGTGCAAGATATACCATGAGGTGAGTTCAGAACTGCTTACATTAGCTGTGTCTGAAAAGCTTTTACTGATTCATGTAGAGAGGTAAGATACTTTTGCATAATTTTTTTTCCTGGATGTCTTATTGCGGCAGTATATTTATATTTTAAAAAAGAAAGATATTTGGTAAAAATCTATAAAATTTGAAGTCTCACCCACACTCTGCAACATTATGTTTTGACTGCTTCATACTGAGTGCTTTCAACAAGGAGTATTATGTCATTCCCTTGGCTGATTGTGTTTTGTCCTCTTGACAGGTTTGTGTGCTCTCAACAGTGAAAAACGAGGAATCTTATTCAGATTTCCTAACTGATGATCACAGAGTAAATCTTCACCTGCTGAAAAAAATTGACCGAAACGAGTGTTGGAGAGATTTTTTCATCACTTGCCAGAAGAGGCAGTCACATTTCCTTGGAGAAATTCTGGTTTGTATATCTATTTTTCCAATCAATATTTTTTATATCATGATCATGGAAATAATTTAATCTGGTTTGGTTATGTTGCTTAAGAGGGCAAACTATTTGTGTCATATGCTTTGAGTTTTTACGTGGGAGCAATATGAGCAAGATTTGTTTTCTTTCTTTCTTATTTTTCTGTGTTCTCCTCCTTATGCATCTGGACCATAAGCTCTTAGGTGCTTAGTGTTTGCTTTTCATTTTTACATGTCAGACTTGTTCTTTTGCAGTTGGGTGTGGTGCATCTTTCCTTTGAGGCACCCATTGATTCTTTTTGGTAATAATCTGAATTGTTTGCATTGACCTGTTGTTTGTTTTTTGTTTTCTTTGACTTTATGCTGCCAAAATTTCATTAGACTTACACAATGTACACCCTGGATCTTAAAGTTTTTTTTATTGTCCAAGGTAACCACTTTCTTAAAATCCCCGCAGTTCATGCAGTGCTATATTGTATAAATATATACGATGGCTGGTGATGTAGTATTTTGCCCATAAAATACATTTACTTTTATAAAGAAAGATTTTGTAAGGTATTTTTATCAAATAAATTACTAACTAACTAGACTAAAAGATATAAAGTAGGTATTAAATTTGATTGTTTTATTATAAAATTCTTGCTCTGAAATTTCCAGTTTCAAGGGCAATAACCGAGAATTTGTAGAATGCACAAGAACGGCTCTTATTTCTTTATTTTTCAACAGAATGAAATGTCTTCTACACATTACATGCAGAATTGAATGTACTTTCTCATCAAATTAATTTAAAGTCTAAATTGTGAAATATATTTTCTTCTTCTTTGTGATTGTTGAAGCAGTCCGATTTCTGTTTCTGCATCTATTTTTAGTAACACGAAAAATGTCACACCTCAAGAAAGCTTGACAAATATGAAATCTATTGGCTAGGTCTGAAAGACCATTTAATTCCCTTTCTATTGGTACAGATATGTCTATCTGGAACTGATAGATTATTGCAGGAGGCTTGCAAAAAGTCATGATATGAAATTTCCAAATTCAAGGGCAATAGCTAGGAAATGTAGGATGTACTAGAATGGCCTTCATTTCTTTATTTTCCAATAGAATGGTGTATCTTTTTTTTTTTTCTTCCTTCCCAGAACTGAATGCACTATTCCATGAAATAATTGTAAACTCTAAACTCTCAAACACATTTTTTCCCCCCTTCTTTGTGACTGTTTGAAAAGTGTGGTTTTTGCTTTTGTTCCTATTTTTAGTAATAAAAGAAAGGTCCCACTTCAAGACAGCTTGACAAAAATGAAATCCTTTTGGCTAGATCTGAAAGACCATCCAATTCCCTTTCCATTGATTTTGATATATGATATGTCTATCTGGAGTAGATCGATTATTGCATGAGGCTTGAGGGTATAGAGGACCCCTGAAACATAAATGAAAAAGCCAATATAGGCAAAACTAATGGGATTTAATGCGGTGTACCCTGGGATCAGGAGTTGTGTGGAAAAACCCCCCCGGTAATAATCCAGTTTGTCCTTTGACTGGGCTTGTTTCAGGAAGTAATTAAAACCCTCATTGTATAACACAGGGTGAAACAGTAAGACCTGTTGTAATAGCCACATACCCATGGCAATCCCCTGTACAACTGACCATTTCCCGCTTTCTCCCTTGCTTTTTAAAAAGGAAATATTGTAATGGCAATGGCCAAGACCCTTCAAAAATGAGTGGCCTTCTTGGACAATTTCAACACTATGATCGTTCATATATATAATTCATTGTATTGTCCTCAGGACCTGAGCTTGTCACTCATTAGAGCTGGGAAGTTTATGGCTCTACAAGATCTGCTAAGTTTTCCAGAGCTGCTACCCCTTCGGGCACCGGTGTTACTGATTGGCTGGTCTCAGTGTGGCACCTTCAGCCAAGTTCGAACCCTCCTCGACACACTTTGGGATGACTCAGTAAGTTCTTGAAGCACTGTTTAAAAGATTTTATTGTGGTTCAAAGAATTTTATTGTTACCTGATTTTTTTATAAAGATTCATATTGGATTGAAGATAGAAATGTTTTACTTTCACGCTGCGTTTAATTCTTTATGTGGCGGTACAGTGTTTGTGGCTTTGTTATTATTTTGTCATTTACCGTGAAATAAAGATACTATCAGACCTGTTGTAAACGGCCGCTGTCCAAGACAATCACCTACACAAGCGGCCAGTTGCCCCCCCCCCCCAATGCATTTTTCTCTTTATCATGATAATACTGTTCAAGCGGACCACCAAATAAAGATGCTGATGATCACTTTTCACCTCAACGATGGATATTTTTTAAGACATGTTCAACTGGATCTAGAATATTCATTGTTTTTGGACACATTTTCGTTTTTTCTCTAATTTTATTGCAAAAACAGTGTCAGGAAAGGGAAACAAAAAATCAAACGTTTAATAATGAACTTTGGAAATTTTCTACTCCCATCAGGCAGAAAACTTGAATGTGGTACTCAAGAGCACGTGCAGGAAACTGGTCTATCACCTGGATCTGATACAGTGGTGTCTGGAGAGGGTCAAGTATGTCACTCTGTTGCGCTTGTTGTCTTCTTCCATGATTTCTTTCTGTAAATATGAGTTGTTTCAAAAGCTGCTTCTCTAGATCTTTAAAAAAAAAAAAAAATTCACTGTTTGCACTAAATATTTAACTTGGTTTGGTTTGATTATTTTCAGTTTGGTGTAAATAGAATAAAGTCTGATTTCTTCTTAATTTTAAAATATTTTTGTTTTGTTTTTGGTTATTTGCTTCTTTTTTCTTTTTTTGCTTAGCTATTTACTTTTTGTGTGTGTGTGTTTGCTCAGCCTTTTTTTTAAATATTTGCTTATTATTAGCTGGAATGTTTTGTTCTTGCATTTTGATAACTTAAAAGTTTTTCTATGTGTACCATTTGTTGGCTGTTAGTTTTTCAGTATCTATCTTCCTCTGTACTTGTCCTCTTGTGTTTACTCTTGAAGTGTGTTCTTTTCCCCTCAGATCAGGCACAGAAGGTCCAGAGACAAGCGGCAGCTTTGCTATTGACATGCTGCGAGACCTAGAAACCCACTCAGTTCTTCACATCCTGCAGAGATTTACAAACCTGGCTTCTCTAGACCACGCAGAGATTTTACAACTGTTGATGAATTTGCCTGACAGTAAGAGATTTTATTGCCATCGTGACTTTTTTTTGTTGTTGTTGTGTATTTCAGTCTGTGGGGTTTGATTTGAAAAGCTCTGTTTTTATAGACGTGTCTTGAAATTTTATGATATATGGCATCTTCTTCATCATCTTTCCTCTAATGTTTTACTTTCTTGCACATTTTTGTAAGATTTTTAGTCATGGAATATTCAACTTAGTCTCTTGTGCCTAGTTTAAAGCATTTTGTGCTTCAATCCTGTCAAGTTTTTAGTTTTAATGCACAATTCGATATTAAAGAAATGTCTATTCTTAAAGAAAAATATTTTCTCACCAGAAATGAGCTTGTATATCGTGGATGTTAGTGAACCTGGTGTTTCCAAAAGAGGCAATTTTAATTGAAAAAGGTCTGTAAATACTGTAATATTCCTTGTAACATTTATTAATTGGTGGGAGATCCTAGGATTATTCAGGGGAACTTCTGTTTATTTGCTAATTCTTATTCTTTTATTAAACATTTTTAAATCACTTTTTTGAACTTTGGTAATTACTGGCTGAAATTATATAATTTTTTTTTTTCTCAGAGAAAGAGGAAAAAAAACAAAAGACTGTCACTTTCAAAGACCAATCAAAGCAGAAAGACCAGCCTGAAGCCATCAATGTGGAACAACAACGTGACATTGCTATATTCAGGAGTTATTGTGCCCTGAAGAATGTTATGGATGCTCTGTTATTCTCTGCAGACAATAGTGATCATGAACTCATGAACCCTGTGAAGGTGAATAAATAATCAATGGATAAAGATTTTATAATTCTTTGCCTATAGCACAATGATATTATATTGTTTCAATACTAATATCATGAGGGTACATATCAACAAAAAAGTATGCTAATTTATCACAATTGAGGTTCATCTTGCTGAAAGGGTGTTCTCTTTTCACAAAGTACATGGTATCAAGACCCAAAAAAAATATTTATCAATAATATTTTATGTATGTCAAATAAATGTATACCTGTTGTTTTGTTTTTTTGTCTGTATAATTTTTTCCCCGTCATTGTAATAATTTTTAACTTAAAAAGAATCTATATATTTTGATGGAAGTTTCTTTAATGGCATGTTTTGCTGTTGTTTTTTTTTTTTAGAATTTTATTTTGTTGGTTTATGTGATGGTAAAAGTTCATACTGCTTTTATTTCTATCCACAAACTGATACTGCATGTCTCGTCTTCTAATCTTGGTTTTTTTTTTTACCTATTTCTTTGAAGGTAAAGAGAACAGTCAAGGTGAAATCTCTCCAGAGGAATTTCATGATGGAGCAGTCTCTTAGCTCTAGTGAAGGGGATGATTCTTCAAGCCCTGGGCTGAACATGGAGTCAAAATCTGAGGGTGATACTGCTGAGAAATGTCATGGAGATTCAGATCAGTTTCTACAGTCTTATGAAAATATGGTGACCAAGAAACTTAAAGAAGCTAAGGAACATTTATCTCACATCCAGCCCTTAACCTTCAGGCTTGAAATACTAGAAAATATCTTTTCTCTCCTCTTTGTGACTCATGAAGACCTTTTAGAGCATGTGTCAGGAACATCAGAGCCAGACAGTGGTGATGAGAATGATGATAGCAAACGCAGCAGCTCGGTTGACATTGCTCATGACAGCCTGAACATGTCGCTTGTTTCAGAGGATGAAACTGTTGGTGATGACTCGTTGTTTGAAAAGGCAAAGTCACTTTCACCGGCACCATCATCTCCCTTGGTCCCTTCCCCTCAACCAGCATCGAGTGGTGTGGATTACGATGAACCGTTTGTTGATCCTCTAGAAAAGACGAAGTCTCTATCACCAGTTGCTGAAACAAACCAGTCGTCGTATTTTACTTTGGACTCGAAGCTGCAAAAGAAAGTGGTGGAGGAGACTTCTAAACAAAAGCTACGCGATGAGATCAAGACTCTTACAAAGAAAGTGAAAAGAAAGCGGAAGAGAGAATCGTCGTCAGAGCAGTCTTCTTATCCTCAAGGATTTCTGGGAAACGAATATTTGGTCAGAGATATTCTGCATTTACTAAAAGATGCAGCAGCTGATTTAAATGCAGCCAAATTTTCTCTCTCTGGCAAAGTTGTTGACATGATAAGACGGGACTCTACAAAGTATAGCCCTGTAAAACTGGACCCGGAGCTGGAAAAAGTCCTACAAAGCAGTTCAATCACAACTATCCAGCCTGAGACTCTGCAGAAAAGAATCACCAAACTGATGCAAGCTGTGCATGAGGCATGGTGGCGCTTTCAGTTGGTGTCCCATGAAGCTTTTCCAAAGCAGCCTGGTCGCATACTGGTGGAAAAAATCACCGTCACAGATGATGATATCAACTTTTTGCCTCTGTGTGATCGGAAAGTCTTCAGTTCTGATATAGGTATGCCTCATGTTTATAATTTTTTTGCTGTTCTTTATTGATATATAAAAATGGGGTCAATTTTGTAGCTCCTTTCTAATTGAATATTTTACATGGGGAAGGCGTAGTTGAATGGACATGCTGATTGCTTCATATACCTTTTGTAGGTCCTTCCGCTTTTATCCATTTGCTCTTTCTGTCCACTCTGTTAATGGTTTTTGTCCCGAACACTATGTGATCATGCTGTTAACTAAACAAAAAAAAGGAACTGGGCAAACTGCATGGCCTTAATGAGTCTTGTGCAGGGGGGGGGGGGTATCTGGAAATTTCCATCTGTTATCAGCATTGTAAGCTTCCGATGTTTCGTCTTTGAAACCAGTGAATTACTCTGTCTTATTTAGCATAGGCTCAGGCCAATACCCTTTAACAAAGCCAATGAAGATAATTCCCATTTTGGGGGAAGAAGTGATACAGCGAATAAAATGGCTTTTGGTACAGTTGAATGTGCTCTAAAGGCCACCTGTACAAGACTATCATCTGTACAAATGACCATTCCTCCCCCTCCCCCCCTTCATTTATATAATATAATGACGTTGTCCAGGATATCCACCTGTCTAAGAAAGACAATGACTCCTTGACATAGGGTGACCATTTTGGACAGTGTCGACCATATTTTATTTCTCATCTGGCATTGAAACAAATTTTGATTTTTTTCTCTCTTGTGCTATTTGTTTGTGTTTAGAAGAGCGGTCTGGGATTGAATCTGAATGTGTGAACTCTCCAAACCGTAGACTGTCTAGTGTTGGCACCTTGACACCTCCGTCCAACATAGTTACTAAAATGACAGCCCCTCCAGAGCGCCTCCTCATCTTGACTCTAATCAAGAACAACCACCAACAAGCAGCAGAGGTCATCAAGGTAGGAGAAAAGGTCACCTGTAAAGAAAACAGGATAATGCTTGAGTGAACATTTGTTTTCGATAAGGGGCCAAAACGACAAAATGGTTTTCATTTTACATTTTAAGTGCATACAGATTGATATTTCTGTGTTCAATCCAGAAAACAGTTGAAATACAAGCATGGTGTCACTTATCATTCAAAGTAAGAAAAGTTTTGTACTTCTTGTTGTTTTGGGTCAAGTATATTGTTTAAGTTTGCGGTATGTTTTAGACTCTGTTCAGGGAACATTTGCCTTTTTCTCAGAAGTCATTTGTATGTTAACCTTTTTTTAAAAATTAGATGCTGATCTTGGCTACAGCTCAGGTGGTTATCTTAAATTGAAAATGTAGATGAAAATTGTTAAAATAATGTTTTAAATATATTTTTGTGTGTGTTTTTGAATGAAACTTGTAATCACTTTTCCTTGGCTTTCCAATTTTTACTTTTGTTGTGGTCAAAATGTTATAAAATCACGGAATGTGGAGATTTCCTCCTTTGCGAGAGAAAAATATACGCATATCTTTTATATTTGGTATAGCTTTTCAGGTTAACAGAGAAAACAGCTGAGACATGTGAGGTGGCTTTTGCTGATATTTACAAAAACCGCTCTGCTGAGATCTGGGACCTGGAGACTGAAAGAAGGGAAGCCACTCCAGTCCCTCAAAGAGTGGGCAAACGCAGTGTCAAAGCCCTGTCTCGAGCTGCGGCCATCGGTGTTGCCTCTGCCTCTCTTTCACACATAACAGAGGATTTGTTAGCAGCTTCCTGTCTCCCACCGATTCCCCGACCAAAAACTGCTTATGCTCGTGAAAACTTTGGGTACTTGTTCAACCTTGACACACCTTCAGCAGTGCTTATTGATTTGCTGTGTACTTCTTGCCGGACCTGGGATACATGTAGCAACATGATGGACATTATCAAGACGCGCAGCTCCAAACTTCTGGAACACGACCCTCGCCGCACTTCAGCTATGACCTCGTTGTCATCCAGCAGCCAATCAGACACCTGGTCAACCCATCAGAATGAGTTGAGCTCCCCGTCGTCATCTGTGTCTTCGCCTCCATCCATCTCCCATGGTCACGGAAAACCCAAACATCTCAAACCTTCGCTGCGCAGCATTGTCGGATGTACTGAGTTTGTCTGGCAGCTTCACGACCTTGTTCATCTAGAGGATACAAGCTCCTCCTCCTTCCATGTCGGGGCTCGGCCTCTCCAATTGCCCAGACTGAGTCTCCAACAGCGTTTGAACTCTGGACACATGTCACTGCAGGCAGACGGCATCCGCAGTATAGAGATGGCCACTGTTGAGCTGCGGAGGGCCATGGACCGTCTTCTGACTGTCCTGTCAGGAACTGGACCTGGAAGGCAGTTAGATATCTCCATCGAGGATCCCCAACCGTCTCCTGCTCCGTCTCCGTCCACCAGGGGAAGCTCCCCTGGCAGCTGTAAGTATCTTGTGCCCAACCACATTACTTGTGATTTCTGGTTGGTGGGTATTTTCTGACATAAAAACATACTCATATCTTTACCTTAGTATTCAAATTATCAAATGGCTTGCTCTTTGTCTATTTTCACACAATTTGATTTATCACTTCACTCTTACCGTTATTTTTACTTTTAAAAGTTCCTGGAAGTTTTCAAACCTGATAAAGACAAATTCATGTCTACTCAATCAAATAACCTGTCAGATCTTTAAAGTCCATGCTTTCAAAACCAGTCGTTGTTAAACTAAACCTGTGCTCTTTGACATAATATGATTAAACTTAGTATTTTGGATTATGATTTTGTGGTTATTTCATCTCAAGATTGTCTGAATGCAGAAAAGTATTGAAGCATATATTCTCTCCTTTATTCACCCCCACATTTCATTGTTTTTTAAGGTTGATGGGCAATTGCATAACAAACAAAATATTTCCGCAGGGGTCTTTGCCAATCATGCTAGTAACATGTATGTGTCCTTCTTTGAATTTGTGATCCCTTGTCTTTCTTAGTTTCGGGCAGCACATCAAGCAACGTGACTCCATCACTCAAAAACCAGCCGAAGCAAGAGCAGAACCTGCTTCATGTGGCCTTCAAGTCCCTAATGTGTGCCATGGAAAAATATATTCCTGGAGAAGGTTTTGCGCAACTTATGAATGGGTAAGTGTTTGTGAAAATGCGGGGTCTTTTTTTGTTTACAGCTGAGAGAATGATTGTGTTCTGTACTTTGACTTGACATAGCTTATATAATGTGCTGCAAGGTGTTTAAAGTAGCCAGTGGGATGGGAAATTTAGTGCACTTCATGGTATTTCTTTATTTTATCAGGGAGGCTTGTTGATTGTGAGGTACTGCAGTCATCCTTGACTATTTGATTTCTTGGAAGCATTTTTTTTAGTAAAAATATTCTCTAGTTTTTAACCCAGGGTAACCTAAGAATATGTTGGATCAACCGTGTATTCTGTTTAGACACTGATAAAGTGCCCAGGAATCTTGTCTGCCCTGAAAAACTGACCTGATCAAGTTGGTTGCTTGGGAAAATTATAAATTGACCATTAGCCAACAATGAAAAGACTTTCGTTGAGACTTATAATCAAGATAATTTGAGATCTAGCAGGGGGGGAATATAGAAATAAATGTTATAATTATTCATCCTCTAGCTTTTCTCTGTTCAGGAGATCTGTATTGTACCCTGAGCCTATTTTTTAAATTACATGATGTTTTTGAGCACAATTCTCATAGTAGCCAGAAATTATTTTCTGTCTAGGTCAGACTGCTTTTATTTTTTCACTGCATTTTGTTTGCATGAATTTTGACCTGATGAACCAGCTAATTATGATGCAGTGAAATATGAGTAGTTTTATCAATGCAATACCTGATTAATTCACACTATTTCATCTTAGAATACAATTTTTTTTTTTCATTATGATTACACTTCAGTTTGTTTGGGATACAATTGGGGATTTTTCATATTCTCACCAGAAATAGCTCACAATGTGACAACATTTTTTGTTGTTTTCTCTCTGTTCCAGCAAAGCGTTCAAAGTGATGTCCCCACCTTTGAAAAACTACCTGCTGAGTCTGTATGAACATGTGAGAGAAATGGCCTATCTAGTGTCAGAATGTGAAGGCAAGAATAAGGGTAAGTAAGGAGTAAGTATTGCGGACAAAAAAATAGATCAAGAAGGAGACCAAAGAGGCAGAAGGAAAAAAAAAAAATCTCACTAAACGCTTTTGCCAAATGTATGATAACTGTTTTCAGGCTGTAGACAGAAAATTGTCTGCTATTGGGGATTTCATGCGCTGATGATATTGAAAAGAAAGTGCTGCCGTCTGTGGTGTAATGGTTAAATGGTTTTCTATCACATGCAGGAGACCCGAGTTCGAATCCTGAGTGGGGAGAAATTCTATCAAGTAACTTGGTATTTTTTCTGGGATGTTGTATTCCTCTCAGCCCAGACTGGTCCTGACTAGCAGGGTTTGAAGCCCACCTCCTAAATGATCTAAATGGTGACATTTAAGAAAGAAAGAAAAAAAAGCAAATGAATTAATAATAGATAGGCAAATCCCAGAGATGCCAACCAGTACGATTTTATGTATTTTAGTATGATTTTTTGCCGAAAATACGCGAATACGACTTTTCATGAAAAAATACGCATCCTGGAATGCGAAAAGTACAAGATTCAGTCCCATCTTTTGTCAAAATAGTTTCAGTTCAGTATCGCAGAACTGCAATATTTAAAAACCAAGTCCGATGTTGTCAGTAAGTTCATTTTTGCCGATCGCGATCGTGATATTATAACATTCGTTCAGCTTTTCCCCATCCGGAGAGTACGTTTCACTTTCACGCGAATAGGCAGCTATGGCGGCAGGCGGAAGCGTATGTGACACCGAGGCTCGAGCGGGAAAATCAAGATCTACTTTCGCTTTCGTTACCACCGAGAAGTTTGCCAGCAGTTGTCTGATGACGCAACATTTGTGACATGCAGGTTGTGCAGTATAAACGCAATGTCGCCGTGCAAATAAAATGTAATAAATACTTGGACTCGTCGCTGTGCTGTCACTTGTTGAAAAAAAAAAAGAAAAGAAAATACAAGCGTTGACCGTCGTCTGATTTTTAGATTGTCTGGCTCGCCATCGTGACCGGTCACTGAACCTGCGCGCATTCGCATCATAAAGAAATGCGGCATCGTGTGAGTAAAGACCATCTTTGGGGGAAGTATGCGAAGTATAATACGACAATGGAATAGGGGAGGAGATTATTGATTTTTGGGGGGGTTTAAGATACTATCGAGAACATATACTTGGAAGCACATTTAAGAATTTTGATAAGAGCTTTCTGCAAAGCACGCGTTGGTGCAGGCCGTGTGCGGAATCGGGACCCCCTCATACTTTGCAAGTCTGTGTTATTGAAATAACGTGTTCGCGTTTCATTGGATGGGTGATAGTAAATTATACCTACAGTGTATGTTGTAGCTTTCTGTTCAATACTGGCAGATTTTCAGTGTCACTGCATCTTGCCCTACCACAGTTGTTACAACTATCACAGCGCATGGATCTACTTGAGCCATTCAAGTTATTGCTTTTTTCTGAGTTTGAGCAATAATTTGAGTATGTCAGTTCATGACATGAATCATGACACCCAGACTGGTTCTTGATAGTAGAAATTCTTGTTCTAGGCCCCTCCGAACTCTCAAAGCAGGATTTATTTTTTATATAATAATGGGAGGAAAATATTATATAACAGACTGAAATACTTAAGTCAAACAAGACCCCAGTACGACATTAAACACTGACATGTTGTTAACTGGATATTCACATATTGTACGCGTGTGTGCTCCCTTTTTCGAGCTGGTGAGCTAGTAATTTTTTTTCAAGGAAATATTGCTGGACACCCTGAACATTTTACTATTACTGGTTGGTTGGTCAGTCGTGGGGAATACACATTTTCCCCTGAAAATACACATTTTCATATTTCCCAATACTCATTTCGGTTTTCTGTAGTTGGCATCTCTGAAATCCCCGCTCAATAGCAAGCTCTATGCCCTTCACAATCTATACTATTACCCCAGCAGACCTGAGAGCATTTTGAAACAAACTCAACTTCCTGGGAAGTATACAGCGCAAGCAGCCATTTATAAACGCTAAAACACTAACATACTGACAAGATCTTTCGCTGTCAATAGCCGGGTACCCATTTCCACCTGGATGAAGTGATGAGAAAAATTTGTGTAAAGTGCCTTTCTGAAGGACACAATGTCGGGCCCACGGTCGAACCCCCGACCCCGCAACCTCACGGTTACCATTGTAGCTCTTTCTGTTTCACTTTTGGTAGCGTTGGTTTGACGTCTATATATATAACGCTTAGCTTTTCCATAGCTTAGTATTGTAGTTGATTGTATTGATGGAAATGCTTAAAGTAAATGTACTCCTTTTTGGTTCAAACTTGATGCTTTCCAATTTACAAAAAGCTGATGAGAAAAGACTTATGACTTGTAGAGTGGTCACGATCAGAATACTGCAAATATACTACATCTATATTTTGGAGTTAATTGTTTTGAGAATACAAGTATCTCTTCTTTCCTTCCACTGTCAGCGGCTTTTGACTCCAAATGTAATTTTTATTTTGTTGTCGTTAGGTTATGCAGGGTATCTGTGGCCATCTGGTACAGGTAAATTTTTTTCATTTTTTACTCAAGCATGTCAAAAGTGGAAAACGAGTGTCTGTAGTAAGCACTAGAGGGCTGTCTCACTGGAAAATAGAAATATGAATATCATAGAGTTGCCTTCAACATTTAGTTAATGTTGAATAACCTGTTCTTTGCTGTAATTCTCACACCCCTATTTCAGTATTTACTTCAATAGTATTTTATGTTTCTGTGTGTTTCCACAGACTTGCTTGGTAACTATTTCAAAGTACTGGATGAAGGGCCAGTGGATGTGTTGGGAAGACTTCTCTTTGTCAAAAAAATGCCTCCAGCTCGGTAAGAAATTTATCCAGCTAAAGCATTCTTATACAGTGACGTTTGTATGACGTTATGTTAACAGTTTAGCCATGATAATTTATGATGATAGATTCATTAATCAACTGTTTTTTTAGGAAAATTATGAAACTTTAATTTCCAATGCTTCATTTCGGATCAATGTATTTTAAAGATAAATATAATATTTAATTGTTCCAAACTTGTTACCAGATCCAGATAGTCTTTTTCAGATGCTAGCATTATGCTAATTGTCCGATGCTTTATTGGTGGACTACTGATTTGTAATCATCCTTTCTGTTTAATCTTTCCTAGGTGGATAGCATTTTTATCTTACTTAGTAGACTGACAGTTTCATGCCTGCCACTGAAGGGGTTTATTCTTTCAATAGTTTTGTAGTTTTGTGTCCCCAGACAAAGGGAAAATCATTCAGCTTTGCAATAACTGTATTTAGTTAGTAATAGTTATAATAGATTTAGCAATGATTATAATTACAGTGAAAATAAAACTCACATAATCCATTCTCAAAAAAGGAGTTTAAAAATGTAGCAACATCCTAAAGTTTTATCTTTTTTTTGCTGCAGTGCCATCTATCGTGGGGGGTTTAAAAAAAAAACCTTATTTGTTTAAGAATTAGAAAGTTAATCAAGCACAATATTTAAGGAAAAGTTTATAATTTTTAAAAATCCTGTTTTCATATTGGGAGTGCCTTACTTTTGCATGACATATGATGTACGGGTAATATGGCTGTTTTGTTTTCTGTGAGCTCACACAGTTACCAAACATCATTCATGCTGAAATACGGACGCATATATAGAGTTGCTTTGTAGTATGAATGCGCATATATAGAGTTGCTTTGTAGAAGCCGATGATCAACACCAGGAAGTTTACATTTAAAAAATGTCTCTCTTGTACTGCATCCACTCTCCACCATATATGTCCATTGGGATTTACCTAGGTATCAAAGCAGGAAAACTCGCATTGGGTGAAGTATTGAACTCATAATAGTCAGAATGTCATCTCTTCCTGCAGTCTTGAAGCAGTGGCGGAGAAACTGAGCCTGAACCTGACCCACACCATTGTGTACAGCTGCTGCCCACGCATCCCTAGCAAGCATGCAGCAGTGACAGCTGCAGAGTTGGGTGAGTGACTGAGGGCTGTTCCCTAGCTGCTGTATGAGTGATTAGTGAACTCTTAGTATTTATTTATAGTAGCCACCTGTTCATATGTAATAAGCCCAAAATTTAGAACATTTTTTTTCTATTGCAGTTGCTTAATTTGTGGTATTAGTTGCAAATATGTAAGTACAATTTATTTTACAAAACAAACTTCTAAAAAGTAACAGGATTTTATCAACAGCTGCTCCCTTAAAATACAAAGCTAAATTTCATTGGCCCGACACCGTAAGAAATGAATAGCTTGCATATGTTATGTAGTTACTCATTATTTTAATCAGTCAGTGTCCCAACCAGGAATTCTTTGCCATTTTGATTTTTAATGGATTTTCCATGTAACAAATATTCCTGGTATCTCTGTGTGCAGATGAGTGCTGCAAACTGTGGGGTTCAACTGTAGCAAATGTTTCTGCTGGTGACAAAGACAGTCTCAGCTCTACCACAGCTGATTCAACCTTGACTGGGGAGAAACCTCGGCACCCTGAGTTAGTGGTCAGAGAGATGCTGGTTCAAGTTGTCAAGATGATGAAGAGTGAGATTTTACGTTTTCCTGAAGTCAAATATTTTTTCCTCCATGGTCATCTAATTTTCAGGAAAAGTCAAAAATGGCTTTTCATAAATGTCTAATTTTGGCAAATGCTGAACATCTTTTAAGGAGAAACATATTTTGCATTGTAGAACTTGTTTTGGAGATGGGTCTTAGTTTTCAAGCAGGAAATCATGATTTTTTTTCCCTCCTGTATTAAAAAAACCCCTATGGATTTAGGAAATAGCTTCTAAGAAAATTAATAACCTTTTTCTTTCACTTGCCTGAAATTTTTACCCTGGGTTAGAATGTTTCAGCCTTCAATATGTTGTTTTAAGAATTGAACTAAAGCCCTGAATGGCGCCTGCGATGTTTTTGTTTACTAAGATGCCATTTTATCTCCGATTCCGTTGTACTTCTTTTTTTGCCCTAGAATATGCCAAGACCCACAGTGCTCATGGTGTTTTTGACATCGCATGTGCCAAGAACCTGGTCAGGGAGCAGGACTATCTGGCAGCTGTCAAAATGACATCACGACTCCGAAGCCTTGACCTTAACATGTTAACGTCTGGGGATGAAAGGATTTGCTTCTTTGCCAACCTGGCAAACTTGATGGTTATACACTGTCACCTGGCCAAGATTTTATCAAGACTTGAGGTACAGTTAAGGACTGACTGGCCTGTTTCTATAGTAATTTTTGCAGCCCCTTATGCTTTAGGTGCAGTGTTTCCCTTGAATATCGAAAACCTTGTTCAGTGCTTACTTCGTGCAAGTATGTATTTGGGTGACGTGTAATTTTCCTGAGTTTTTTTTGGTTTTTCTGTATAACTCTTTTTATCCTGGCCTTACCCCCACAGACTCTGTACCTGTCTTGGGGCCGCCACGCCATATGAGTTGGAATTCAGTGTGTATATTTCAAAGTGCTATATTTGTTACATGTACTCTTAGGTTTCAAGGAAATTTGGCAGCTATGTTAGAAATTGAATGTAGTTTTTGTAAATGTATGTGGTTAAGAATTACACCAATTGCACCATGTAAATTTTTAGGTTTATTCCACCCTCCAACTTGACCCTGATTGCTGCGCCCTCGAAGTGCACTTGCATTTATAGATCTACCACTAACCATCGGTACTGCGCGGATTCCAGTACTAGTCCCTTCACCATGATCTGAATCGCTATTAGAAAAGTCTAATTCCAGTTCGTTATCATCCACCACGGAATTTACAGCACTTGATTCAGAGTCATTTTCATCAAATTATCAGAGATACATATTGTGTTTTCCAAATTCCTTTCTGAATATATATTTTTTTCCAGTTGCTACTGAAACAAGAGGAAAAGGGAGGTAATGGTGATGAAGAGCAGATTGAGCTGTTCCCCTTGGCGGCAGCAGACAACTTGATGTATCTGAGCAGCTTTTCCTTCTCTGTGGGACAGCTGGGTGTCGTCAGGTGTGTTGTAGTTTGGAAAGGGGCTCCACTTTTCTGGGAGGCTTTTAAAAGTTCCAGGAACTAGCATGCTTCTTGTTATAGTCATGTTTTAGTTGGAGGCAACTGGAACATTGGATAGCAACAGAGAAATTGATTGTTTTAAGATGAAATATTGAGGCTAACAAGTAACATCTTGTAGGCACATCTTTGTGTATAAAATCCCATGAGTTCTGGAAGTCTCAGTTGATCTAATTTTCATCTGAAACAACGTATTGAAAGGTTTTTTTTTCCCCAGCTGCTATCTGATGAAAAAGAAGATGACTGTTTTTTTTAATGTCATTTAATTTCAGTTTTGCATGTACTGTTGTGATATGTACTGACTGTTGTTTGAAACTTACAGAAAATGTTAAAACACCAGAGATAATATAAAACCATGATCATTTTAGAAATGAGGGTTAGTTTTGATTTTAAATATCTTTTTCTCATAATTTCTTTTTCAGCGTTTTTGACATTTTGAATGTTCTCTGCCGGTCTGGGCTTGCTGCAGCTTCTCAGTGGAGGGACCTGCTGGGCTGCAGGACACTCAGTATGTCTATTTCTTTACATTTTTTTGTTTAAAAAAGATTTGTATGATCATTTTAGTCACAGACTGACATTGAAAGAATTTCTTTATTTTATATCATTTGATATTAGCACTGTGTGTTGTAGCATGTATTATTGCTATGTGATAGAAAATTTTAAGTGACATTTTATTTTAGGTATACACTGGTGATTCGTAGACGCTGTGAAGATTTTGTATAGATAAAATCTTAAGACAATGTATTTTACTTGTTTTTATTTGGACCATGTTTTTCCCCACATTGCTTTAATCTCCTTTCAGCATGGTCAGTTTTTTCTCTGTGACCGTTGTAGATATAATTTTGAATGCATTGTTGCTCTATGGTGTGTTGATCAGATCAAGTAAACCGATCCGTAAATGTACTTTGCGTTATAGGGTAAGGAAAAAGTCAATACTGATGCCTTGTGGTCTGAATTCTATTTCAGAGCTAGACCCGCAAGACTCCTGGGGCCAACATGCACCACCACCTGAGTCTCGTTTGATCTTTGTGCTTAACTCTGGATGTATTTCATCCCCTCCTCTTGTGGTAGGCACCTTTTGTTTTGTTTATCAGCACAAGGTTCCATTCCCGTTTAGACCATGTTCATTTTGTTTAAGCTATTTTACCTTCTTTATGTACTTTCTTACCCATAGCTTGTTTTTGTCTGTCATTTTCTAGTTTGTCGGAGAAACTTCTTACTAAAAACATGGCTGGTGTAAGGGAAAAAAAGAATGTAAGAGCATTTTGAACCACTGCATTTAGGTTTTAAGTAAATATAGTTTTGAATGTACTTGCTTTTCGTATTTTTTTAAACTTTCCGGCTTACTGGTTTGTTTCCTTGTGACTTGCATCTGGCATAGTAGAACTTATTCTCTTTGTTTGAAGAGTCATTTGAAAAACGTAATATCAGTGCTGTTGAATTTGTTTCTATCTTTCTTTCTCAGTGCCTGTCCTCCATGGCCAGAGTTTATCCCAGTGAGGATAAAGCTTTTAATTCTCTCAATATTTTGACTATGTTTGTCCTTGCTGTCCTCACAAGATGTTACGATGTTGCCTTTATGGCATTTCAGTGTGATGCAGAAAGAATAGAGCCTATTACAGAAACTTCTCTTCTGCTCGTCTTCAGGTTCTTAATCCCGACCACGTCCAGACGCAGCTGGAGATGGCCATGAAGGACTACCTGTCTCACACAGTGAGGGTTTCTGTGGACCAGGAGAGGGTAAGTGGGTGGTTGGCGGGTGGTCTGGTGTGGCGTACTCATCCTTTCCTATCAAACACCTATTGTCCTGATCTCTCCTTTTTTGTGTTTTTGTTACTCTCTTGCAACACATCTAATCTTCAGCACTTATATGATCATATTGTGTTGTAAGTGCTGCGAAACTCTTACTGAAACTAAAAGGGAGGGGGTAAGTCATACTAAATAGAGCAAAAGTTGTCCAAAATGGCCACCCACTGTCGAGGAGAAAAGCAGTTGTCTTAGACAGGTGGGTGTTTTTGATAGTGTCATTATAATATTTTTAAAAACTCAAATGAGGAAGTGGTCTTTTGTACGGGTGATAGTTTAGAACAGATGGTGGTTAGAGAAAATTTGACTATATCTGTATCATTGACATGCATTATGATACACTCATGGGGACATTTTTAGTGCTTGCTCTTTGGCATGCCAAACTTAACTAAGCTCTGCTACATTAAACATTTAAAAAATTGTAATAAAGCAGATGAAACTTTATGCTTGGTTAAAGTTTACATTTTGACAGAATACCTTTTTTTTGTGCTCTCATTCTCATCACATTTATCTATCTAATGATAATGTATGAAGTCCAAGAAGATATTTTTCTTTGTAATTCAGCTTTCCTTGAATAAATGCTCAAATCTACATTTATTTTTCATGCTAGAGCTTTTGAGAAAGGTGGTGCTCATGTCGATCTCAGCTCAATTCTGTAAGAGAACAGAAAGGATGAGTTGCAAAGCTGAAGGTTACATTCAAAATAAAAAAATAAATTGGTGACAGTCTTTTTTTTTACCTCTATGGACATTGTTCAAACATGATTGAGTTTTGAATACAGTCAGGTATATCTGGTAAGATCTCCACCTTACTCAATATCCTGACAGGGATCAAGAACTCCAACTCAGACTTGACTTATTGTGTAATGTATTCTTTCATACCCTTGTTCCTCCCAGGTGTGTCTACCTCAGCTGCTGATGTGGCACGAGCATGACTTTGTAGCAGACAAGGAACTGGTTGTGGATACCAGACATAGTGCTCTGGTCAAATGGATGACCCCCTACCTTAGTGCTGAGACACAAAACAGGCTGGAGCAGCTGTTTCTTTTGGACAGCGTCCATGGCTTCAGTGAAAATATTGGTCAGTTCATATACTATAAAATTTTGTTTTTTTTTGTTTTTGTTTGTATCTCGTCTTTTCAGACAAATCTTAGTTACCCTGCTGCATACAGCGACTGCTTTATGTAAGACTTCGCCATATGCCGTTCTTAAAAGTGACGTCTGACGGAGTTTCGCAGTGATCAGTAGATAGACTTTTAAACCTTCTAAAACATGAACAAAAAAGTACTTTATGTATTGTGTTGCCTATTGTTTACAGAGATGCCAACCAGTACGATTTTATGCATTTTAGTACGATTTTTTGCTGAAAATACGCGAATACGACTTTTTATGAAAAAATACACATCCTGGAATGCGAAAATACGAGATTCAGCTTGGGCGAGTAAACCTAATTATCTCAAGTCCCATCTTTTGTCAAAATAGTATCAGTATCGCGGAACTTGAATATTTGAAAAACCAAGTCTGATAAGGTCAGTAAGTTCATTTTAGCTGATCGCGATTGTGATATTCGTTCAGCTTTTTCCCGCCTGAGAGTATGTTTCACTTTTACGCGAACAGGCGGCTATGGCGGCAAAATCTACTTTCACTTTCGTTACCACCGAGAAGTTTGCCAGCGGTAGTCTGATAACCCAACATTTGTGACATGCAGGTTGTGCAGTGTAAACGCTGTATTGCGGTGCAAATAAAATTTAATCAATACTGGGACTCGTCTCTGTGCTGTCACTTGTGGGAAAAAAAGAAAAGAAAATACATAAATACAAGCGTTGTCAGATTCTTAGATTGTCTGGCTCGCCATCGTGACCGGTCAGTGAACCTGCGCGTATTTGCATCATAAATAAATTCGGCATCGTGTGAGCAAAGACCGTCTTTGGTGGGAGTAACGGTGTTGCGAAGTATAGGACTAGGAAATAGGGGAGGGGATTATTGATATTTTTTAAAAGATACACTCTACACTCGGGGGGGGGGGGGGGTTGAACACCAGAGGACAAACAAAAACTTCAGCGAATTTCAGAAATCTGATTAGAGCTCTCTGCAACTCACGCGTTGGTGCAGGCCGTGTGCGGAATCGGGACCCTTCATACTTTGCAAGTCTGTGTTATTGAACTAAAGTGTTCGCGTTTCATTGGATGGGTGATAGTAAATTATACCTACAGTGTATGTTATAGCCTTCTGTTCAAGACAAAACATTTTATACTCTTGTGTTTGTGTCTCTTTTAGATGTCTCTGGGAAGAATGAATTGCCTTTCCGAGTGGAAACAGACCCCTTCGACAACACCTTTTCCTTCACTTTTGGTGTTACACACGTCAAGGTGGGCTCCCCGTCCACAATGCCTTCTGTTGTGGCACCAGTGTCGAAGAAAACCAAAGCTCCAGCGGCACTGTTTTCCAACTCACTGGAGGCTGCAGGGATGGGTCAGAGCCTACAACTGCCCAAGTACAACCTTACCCCTGTGACGCTGGAGTATGTGAAGCATGACTCGTTACTAGCGGCGACGATGGTGAGCCTGGTCTGTGCAGACAATCTGGACAACATTGAGCAGCAGTTCACAGATGACCACTTCAATGTGCCCGAGTTGACCCCAGCTCAGCAGCACCTGGAGGGACTTCCTCGACCGCATCGCTCCTCCTCAGATATTAGTTTGGTGGACATCCGCAGCTACCGCTACCAGCGGCTCACCAACGACTACCCTGTGTTGCAGCGACATCTGCTTCAGTACATCCTGCCTTTGGCAGGGGCAGACCACCCAGAGCTTTTGGAAAGCAGAGAGCCGATACTCAAGTTTGTCACAAATGACATTGAAGACCAGGTCAGTTTTGATTCCAACTAGTCCTGACAATGAGGACATGTATAACTTTAAGTCCCCATACCCCAGGCCTCACATTCTTCACTAGTATTGTTTTATAGCTGGCGAAACTGAGTACAAGTTGTGCAGATTATTTTATAGTCCTCTATCCCCTTCAATGAAAGACTATCAGGACTTAATGCTATATCTCCCTAGATGAGCTAGTCTATTCTAGTATTCCACATTCGTCCCCCAGGGGTCTCACTGTGTTGCCATCAGTTAGGTGCATGCCAACATCACTTACTTGTTTTGTCTCTTTACGCACTGTCAAGTCCATTTAGTGAAGAATAAGGAAATACACCTTCTGTAAAAAGACATCCTCTGAGAACCTAGGAATTGAATCTATTACCTTTGGATAACAACTTCATCATCCTAGAATGCTATTATCTAATTTTACTGACTAAATTTTGTTGCTCAGGTGAAGCTGTGCATGTTCAGCCTGGCCGACAGCGAGCAGTTCCAGGGAGTGATCCACGACATGGCCAATCGTCTGCTGGAAGAGCGCAAATGGATGGAGCTCCTCACAATGCTCGGAAGTCTTCCCAGTAGCGTGATCTCAGAGTTCTCTCCCCTGCAAGTCCTACACGACTTTTCCCTCAGTTGCTGGGCCATTTCCCATGTCAAATTGGTAGGTAGTGAATGTGAGGATGTTGGTGTTTGCACCTGTGTAATTAAAGGGTGTAGGGCACTGCTCTGTTGGGATTTTTTTTTAAATGTGAAAGTTTTTCCCCTCTCTAGTTAAGCAAAAGATTTTTGAATGTATGAATACTAAACTTATCATGTCACCGAGGATGAATAATGATTTTTTGTATGGACATTTGAGAGAAATCCGCATACTGATAAGAAATGGTTGTCCAATAGAGATAAGGGATATGTGAAAATTACCTTGTGAATCCTCAAAAACAAAGAAAAAAAAGGACGCTAATGCTGATGTCTGGAATAACAAGAATTCTTAAAAGTCCTACCTATGACATCCCATCTAGCCAATCTTGATCCAGCAAAACCGTGCCACTTTTTATGTGTATTATATATCATACAGTATAATAATAGATTGCATTTGTATAGCACAAATTCCCGCTCAACAGCAAGCTCTATGCACTTTACAATCTCTATTATTACCTCAGCAGACCTGATAGCATTCTGAAACATCATGACTTGAGAGACATCACAGCAACATTATGATTTCCCATTTCTTTGGAAAACAGGGTTTTTATCATTTTTGTTTTATTTTTGTTTTGGAAAGATTTCTATTCAAGTTGGCTACCACCACCCCCCCCTCCCAAATTTGCAGTTGAAAATTTAATTTAGGATTCGTGGAGCATTAAAGCTGTAAGTGGCAGTGTGGAAACATAAAGCATATGTTGATACAAATTCTTGTCTTTATATCTTTCTTACAGCCGGGCCAGGCACCTAAAGTAGGAGACCGACTGAGATGGTTCTACAACCCGACCCTCCAGGCACGCATTGTGCTGACCGTTACCTACTCCCTGCCGCTTGACCTGGCCTCTGACCTTCTTGACCTCTGCATCCATGGCCTTGAGGAGAGCAGTGGTCTGTGGCAAGCTGTTGTCAGTAGGAAGAAGGAAATAGGCATACATAGCAAGGTGAGGACGCTTTTGTTACCGCTTTAACCGATTTTAATGCCGTATTTCACAGTTCAAAAAGTTCAAATTTTTATTGGTAAGAGTTTGTGCATTTTATAGACTAAGTTATCTTCTGCGGATGGAACTTCCTGTCAAAAGATGATGATGAAGACTGAAGAAGTGGTTTGTGGATGTGGCAGTCTCAAAGGCATGTGAGTTTGAGTCTTTGCCATGTTCAATACAATGTGGATTAAAGGAGATCTCTGTCGAACTGAATGTATGTTGGATGACTTCCCTCTCTCCTCTCTACTTTAAGTCGGTTAAATTAATCAGTTGAATCCGTCAATTTTACACATTTTGAAATTATTTCTAGTGTATGAATCTCACAATGTGTCCACACTATAGTAATATCATCATCAATGCCTTTCACCCCTGGCAGGGTATAGGCCACATACAAGCTCCTTCCATTTATCTCTGTCTTGGACCATCCTTCCAAGCTCGTTCCAAGTGAGCTTTATCTCTCTCCTGTCCCTTTCCACGCATCTCCTCCATGTTTCCCGTAATATGCATGAACAATTTTTTAAAACAGAAATTGATCGAATCTTTTACTTTATCAAAATTTCTGGATTAGAAAAGTAAGTTTTTTAATGTTTAAAAAAAAAAAGAAAAATATTCCATTGTGTAATGTTTGTGTTTGCCTCAGATCATGGCCTCTGTGAAGAGACTACACATCAAGCTGTCCACCCAGGATGCGTCAGTCCTGGCACTGAACGACTCTGAACAGCAGCTCTTGGCTGTGGTCGAGGAACTACGAGACTGGCGCTCCATCCCAAAGGTCAGCGCCGATCGACCTGCAGACATTCTGCTGGTCTTGGAGCAGACCATGGAGTTTGATGTGGCTGCAGAGTGGGCCGAGATGAACAAACTAGCTCCCGACACTATTCAGGTGAGTGCCAATAAGATGTTCAGCTTAGAAAGAATTTGGAGTTTTCTGTCTTTCACTGTTTTTTTTTTTTGTGTGTGTGTATGGAAAACTTTTTTCAAAAAGCAGGCTTGGGTGTGGGGGCGTGGGGGGGATGGATGCTTTTTTCTTGAAAATACTGGATTCAAGTAGGAAAGCTTTGATTTTCAAAATTTGACATGGCCACCTTCAACATTGTCTTATCGAGGGGGGTTGATAGCTCGTTAACGGAATATTATTTTTCTTGAAGATAATACTTAATACGTGAAAAAGCTTTTATTCTTGGATGTGGTTGTTAGCAGTCTGTTCAATTATCTCTGTGGGTGGTTGGCGGGTGCTCTGGTGTGGTTTGCTTCTTCTTTCCTATCAAACATCTATCATCCTTATCTCCCCTCCTTCTTTTTGTGTTTGTTACTCTCTTGTAACACCTCTAATCTTCGGTGTTTATATGACCTTATTGTGCTGCAAGTGCCATAAAACTCTCACTAAAACAATAAAACAATCATCTCTGAAGGAAGAGCTGGTTTTATTTTTTATGATTTCTCTTTCAGTTTGTACTTAATGCTTTCTCTGGTTACATTAAGAAGCTTTGAAAACCGTCATTTATACCTTTTCTTCTTTCAGGAAATAAAAAAGCGACACTTGACGTCTTTGTTGAGCGGCTCACAACCTGATACTGTGACAGCTTTCCAGGTGAGCTTTCAATTCAGGTTTTTAGTAACCAGTGTCTCTGATATATTGGAAAGTGTTTGTTTGTGACTTATACCCCGATCCAGGCAGGGTGAGAAAGGCAATGATGATGATGATTATTGTAATGATGTTGTCCAAGGCACCCACCTGTTTAAGAAAAACACTTTTCTTTACCACAATGGGCAGCCGGTTTGAACAATCTTGACCGTAATTTCACAATAACTAGCCAGGAAAGCTAGATCAGTCCATTTCACTATTTCAATTCCATCCCAGCTTGGTAGGTACACTCCACCATCAGACAGATAGTGACAATCCATCTCTGCTACTTGATTATAATGCAGCAGATTTCATACTATTATTGGCTATTTCGATACCAGTTCCTTTGATACCTTTGATGGTAATTTATTCTAGTATCTGTTGGGTGCGTCAGTATTTTATCGAGGCCCAACAACAGTCTCTGTAATTTTTTACAGAAAAATCATTTTTTTTATTTTGTCAACTTTATTTGTGCAATGTGTTGTTATGAAATATTTGTCTTATCCCCAGACGTTTGCGAGACAAGCTGATTGCAGATGAACGGCTAAAGTTGGCCATGGAGGTGTCCACCAAATGTGGTATTGACCCTGCTGGTGTCTGGGCTGCCATGGGTTTTGCTCGTTTGCACCTCGGAGACTATCAAGGTGCTCGGGAGAAGTTTGGCCACTGTCTTAAGGTAAACTTCAGTATATCGGTTGATATTTGGGCCAAAGGTGGCCTTAAAAATCTTTAAAATCATCCTGAAATTTAAAGAAGTCTCAAACTTTTATGTACCTGTTAAAAAACGTAATAACAGTTTCTTCCTGCAATGACAGTGTTATTTTACTCCCCTGGTGAGGCTTATGTGTCCTCCTTTCCCAATAATCAGTTGTGCTGACAGTCAATATACTAAATGTAACAGCTTCCTTTTTGCTAAATCAGAGTTACAAACGTGGCAGGTGCTTTTAGTACTCCATCACTTCTTGCATAAGTTGTTGCTTTAAACTCTAGTATGTAATGTGTATATCTTGATTTAGGGGGACAAGGAAGGATGGATGAGTAGGTGTGAACATTAAGTTATTGCTAACATTAAGCTTAAGCAAATGGAAAAGTCCATTAGGAAATTGTGTCAAATTTTTTCAGCACTCAAGCAAAGAACTTACTGTATTTATTTATAGGTGCCCACGGACAAGAACAAACCATGGCCAAGTCAGAGCCGGTTGATTGGGGAGATAATCGACTTCCTGGACACTATTCCTAGCTCAGGCCTCACGGAGGTAAGCAGGGAGACCGAAATTGCTTCAGTGAATTTCAGTTCTAAAGAATTTTTTTGTATTCTTATTGATGAGATGATGAATAGAAGATAACAATGGTAGTTACCTTTTCTTTTGGAGAATTTTTTGTATTCTTTTATATTGATGTATAGTTTTAGGTACTACTTTTTATTTTGTCTTTGTTCGGTTGTCTGTCATCTTGGTATTCTCAATAGTAAATAATTCTTACTGTGTCAATGTTGTTACCTTTTTCTAGAATCTCAATGTAATGATACTGATTTGTATTTGATGAATTAGTGTATTTCTCATGTAAAACTGTAAGAGCACAGACACAGTAATTTTACTGTAATATACTACACCGCTGGAGAGAAAACTGTGTGGCAGCTTCATGGAACTAAAGAGAACTGCAGTCTGTGTTCACTACCGGATTGTCTGTCTGACTCTCATCGAGAACAAAGAAGAAGAAAATGACTCATTTAAGCTTTATCTGAATGGTTAATGGTAGCTGTGATGTAGTTTGCTTTTTCTTTCTTGGTTTAATATTTCTCTCTCTTATAGTTCCCAGCTCCTTTGACATTATGATTTTTTAGTGCCCTAGCTTGAGGTAAGGTGCAGGCTTAACATTTAAAAAACATTTCAACAGTGCTTTGTTATTGCTGCCGTTATGTAGATTTAACGTTTGAAATTCATGTCTGTTGTATAAATTATTGATTGCTCTTTTATTTCTTGTTTCCATGCGTTCAGTCTTCTTTTTAGCTGTCCTGCTACTCAGTGTAGAAATAAATATTCCCTGTGAATAAAAAAAAATTGTGTCACTCTTTTGCAGGTGGAGAAGCTGTTACGAGACCCTTCCAATATTTGTGATATCAAAACACTTCTTGTACCAGTAAGTCAGACATATTATGCTGTTGTTTGTTGATTTGTTTAAAAATCATTTATGTACTTTTTCAGTGTTTTCTGTTTGTTATACCATATTGGTGCTGCTTAATTTTGTGTGGATATGGCTTAGAAATAATTGTTTGATAGAGATTTTTTACCACTGGATTTAAATCTTATAAAAACTTCTCTCGAGTAGAGGGAAGAAGGAAATAGGACCGCTTTGTTCAATAGTGGAACTTGTACTGGCAAAATAATACCCTTGATGTTTAAGAGAGAACAGAAGTTATGTAAATAGTTAAAAATTTTTAACATTTGAAAATGATTCCTTTATGGCTGACAAATTTCTGCCTGGCCTTGACCTTCCTGGTAATAAATTTGACATTGATACCGTCACGTTTTTTTACTTGTAGGGGGTTCTACCAATTTTTAGACTTGAGCATCACAATGTGCTGAAATACAACAATTTTAGGATTTGGAGGAAGGGGTGGTGGTGTGAGGTCAATCAGGTTAACGTTATCTCTCTCTTATGTTGCAGAGTGTTGGAGAAGAGAACCGTGTTGAGTCAGTGCCTTACCAGGAATGCCTTTTCTACCTGCGCACTTATGGCAGCTTCATGGACCATATCAGCTTCCTGCGGCAGCACAGCTACTGGATGAAAGCTGTCCAGTTTGCCTCGGACCGTGTATGTACAGGGATCCTCTGTGTCCCAATGCTAGAACGAGATACATGCAACTCACATTTTGCTAAAAGCTGAAAAGTCACTAACAGTTGCTAAAGTCCAGAAGGAAAATTACAGAGTAGTTTATGACAAAATATTTTGTAAACATAGACTCCATAGTGATGTATCTTTTGATTATAGACAAAATGACATATTAGTATGGCCTGAAAGAAATTAGCTGGAAATGGTTTCAGGTGTTCAAATCCATGAATCACAGGTAAAGACAGTGGTCTAGACATTAAATGTAATTATGCTTTGAAGTCAGAAGTATTAGATGTACACCAGTATTCTCTGTTTGTCAAGATTTGTTTATAGTGGAGGCATGCATAAATTAAGTGCTGCCAAGTGAGTAGTGTGTGTGTGTATCTCTGAATGTCTATTTCCAGCACTGCAGTGCGGATGTATTTGTGACGGGCCTTGTGGTGCCAGCCATGAGCTCTGGCGAGATGGGACGTCTATTGGAACAGATGCTCATGTTGGACCCAACCCTGGAGAAGTGGCTGGTCTACCTGACGGCCACCTGCAAACACCTACTGCGCCAGAAGTACTTTCACTCTCTCTACCAAGTACAATTATTCATGAAGGTAAGGATGTTCTCCAGCCCTTCTTTGTTCCTTGGTTCAACTGTTTTAGGTTTGCAGATTTTGAATTCAATGTTTTTCGGAACTATGGTGGATTCTCTTTTTATATCTTTTCTATTATTTTACTACACTTGATGGCAGCATCAGTCCACATACTGTTGTTATTCTGTGCTCTGAACCCGACGTAAATGAAGGAGGTCATATGCATATCTAATGGGTATTTTTTCGTGACTTCAGGTTTCTGCTAAAAGCAATGACTTGAGGCATGTTCAGGTTGCGTTCATTGTTGTTGTTTGTGCAACCTTAGTTTATTTTATTTTTTTCACCCTAATGAAAAGCAGAAGTATTGACACTGAGAGGCTGTAAAAGAATATAACTGAATTTTAAAGATAGAGGAATTATTTGAAATGAAGATGAGTAAGGGAAGCAGTATTGTGAAAGAAAGAAAAAGACACAGGTTTTTGGCATTCAATTAGACAATGTTACAGAACCCAGATGATAATGATGAAGTTCATTTGATGAACACACTTCCCTCCTTTTATGTAGCCCCTTTATCTCTCCATCTCTGCCGCTTCCTGTGTTCACTTTTTATGTTTTTGAGTTCCCTCGACTTATTCTTTCATTTTCCACATTCTCTTTGCTTTCTTTATACAATAATCAGGGTTGAGAATTGTCTGCCTAAAGGCGGAATTCTGCTCATTGCAACACCGCCGTCCACTCATCCGAACGCCTCTTCCGCCTTTTTTCTGAGTTTTGTATTATAATAACGAGCGCTCCAAACCCGCTATGAAAAGACGGTCAAATGCATGAGTCCGAAACCGGGAATTCCCGGAAACCTGCTTAATGTATTATAACTGAACACAAAATATCCTTCGGCGCAGTTGGCACTCCGCAGTGAATATACAATGTCGAAGCAAATGATGGCGATCGCTACAAAAGGACTGAATTTAACTTAAAATGGGCTT